GATCCGACACATTTTTTAGGATTTGGACGGATAAAGGATAANATTAATAATTATTTTTTATACTTTCATGTAACAGTTGGCCATTTATTGGAAAGTATTCATTGGGACCCAATTGGGATTTCCCTAACTATATCTTAGACTCATTTTATTGTAACCCAAGAAGACATTTTAAAGAGCAAGTGGGGGTAGCGTGCATTCGTAACCAGTATAACTACTAGTAATTTACAAAACAGTTCGGTCATATCAGGCAGTATTAAATAGAGTAGCAGAACAAAGGAAATCAATAAGAAATAGGCGAGAAGGTAGAACACATTTTCAGGCAAGTGTTAGTTAGTTAGTGTTACAAATAGTTGAGGATGTGGGCTGTTCTAGTTTTAGGAAAATACGAAGTTTAGATCAGGATAGGAAAGAGTGGAGGTACGTGTCCAACCAGTCTTAGAATCGATGACCTTATGATGATGATGATGATGTTAGTTAGAGACATATTAGAAGCAGAAACCGGAGTTAGGAGGAGTAGAGGTAGATCTAGATTAGATTACTGTTCACAAATAGTAGTCAGTGGTGTAAGATGTTCTAGTTTTAAGGAAATCCAAAAATTAGCTGAGAATAAGAAGGAGTAAAGGTGCTTGTCCAACTAATTCTAGGACTGATGACCCTATGATGAAGATCATGAGATATATGATCATTATAATAAATGTCTTCAGTCCAAAGACTAGTTGGACAGGCGCATCTTATTCTTCATATCTTGTCGTCCTCCAATAACTATAACTATAACAATACTGTAGGTACGTTTTTGGGGTCGCTGAATTCAAATCCGCGGTCAATTCAACTTCAGCACGTCAGGATTTGGACATAACCTCAAAAAACACTCTAATATCCATTAAATCCGTTAATCATGATAATCCCAAACAATTTTAAATGTAAAACCCGTAACGAATCAACTATTCCACTAATAAGTGTATAATCCTTTAAACCATATATCCTCGAAATCAAAATGCTGAAGCAGTGGGTATGTTCTGAAATATAACTCAGCATACTGGCCAGTGCTAGTGACGTCAAATTGACGCCATTTTGAGAATAGTATTTGTGCTCATTTACAATAATTATGCTCCAAAAGTTATTAAAGTTTCTTGTAGTTAAAAATTCCTCAAAGTCTGGTGCATACACACCCGTTTGATATACTACTACGTCACACTTGTCTCACTAGTACAATATGGTGGCACACTAGTACAATATGGCATCGATTCATGACATCATCAGCACTGGCCAGTATGCTGGGTTATATTTCGGAACACACCCAGTATATCTCAATTTCTCACCTCTGATTTCGCAAAATTAAAACAGAATTTCCTCATGATTCCTCATGTTGAACTGTGTATCACCCTGTATAACATTTGTAGGACCGCCAGCGTTAGCATTACCCAATGTATACTGCGAGGAGTTTACTTTAATTTTGTGAAATCTACGTCACAAGTAATTTCATGCTGAGAGACTAGGCAATACTGTTTCAATATTTTAACTACGGGGATATATGGTTATATGGTCATAAGGTTTTAGAGTTAGGAATTATAAAGTTATACGATTAGTGAAAGAGGTGGTTATGGGTTTTAGTTTTAAAATCGTTTGAGATTATCTTAACTAACAGTTTTAGTAGATTTTGGAGTGTATTTTGAGGTTAACTCCGAACCTTAACGTGTTGGAGTTAAATTGACCTCCGAACTGGATTCAACGACTCCAAAAAGATACAGTACTTATACACAAACAGACCCCCAGGTTGAAATATTTCTTTTTTTAACGGTTTCAGTGGATTTTGAAGTGCTTTTCGAGGTTATGTTCAAACCTTGACGTGCTAGGGTTAAATTGAGTCAGATTTGAATTCAGCGACACCAAAAACATGCAGTATGCACACCAATTTCCACATTAACCCATGTCGTGCACAAAAGTGATTTATTTTTGTTGCGCTATCCCTTGTCATACCTCTAGAGCTGTTGCCATTGTGGGGTGTCTGACTCCCTAAATATCTAAAATCAGCGGTATTTCCAGTTCTTTGTCTCCACTAATTTTGTAACCTTGACGAACTCAAAAAGCGTCAAGCGTTATAGCATTTTTTCTTCCAATAAACTAAAAAAATCTGTTTACATTTTCAACTATACCTATCCTATAACATGTTATTGAGCCCATCCCATGATGCGGTACTATAAAAAGAAGCTCTGTCTTGATACACGCAATACCCAAGTGAGCAAAATCCTTGGCTTACAATAGTATTATAATAAAGATAATAAAGCACTAACTTTATTTACGTACTGACAACAATAAAACAAACCGAGACACACATTACATTGCTACGGAAGATAGGTCTGTGTTCTTACCGCCCGTTGAAGTCTCCTTGAAAATATGTATTTACTATTAAGATATGTGACATACATATGTGCATGCGAAGCTGCCTCAATGTCATGGGAATGCTTCAGTTCTGTACCATTTCTTAGAAATCACACACGCTTGCTTGCCTTACTCATTATTATTGCTACATACCTACTGCCATCCATTGCCTTCATTTATCAGTAAAAATAGTGATTATGTCAAACTAGGTGGCATTAGAAAATCGTATTATTGTGACTTTGGTGTGTTCTTATGACGTACCTAAGCACATTATTACTAACAAAGTAGGTTAAATAATGGTAGTATAGACTATAGAATCTCAATTGTTTGTGCGTATTGTTATTATAAAAATCACAGTCAAGTTATAGTTATTACATAAAAATAACGGTTAAACTGTAAAAAGAAATGGAAATTGAAACTATTGATAAAATAGTCATCAAGATATTACAAAATTTAAAAATGTCATTTTGAGATCCTCAGCTTTTCAATAAGGCACCATTATAACCATATTTATTAGTAGTATGCCATACGAACCAAAACGGTATTTTTACAGAGATGTGTCGTTTTGAATCCAGTATCTGACGGAATCAACATTTATTTAGAATTCAGTCAAGTGCCGGATAATAACAGCACGTATCCGGCAGTGCCTGGCAATATGACGGAAATGTTGCATTTCTGTCGCTTGGTATTGATTAACGATAACTGATTAGTATGATATTGTCATCATGCAAACTTTTAGTGTTTATAAACATTATAAGCTCGTTTCAACGGTTTCAACTCAACCCTCTTGTTGAAAATCCGCCAACCAAGAGTTATCTTGTACCTAGTAAAATACCTGCCCTGTGCATTTCTAATTTTTAGTAAACTTGATGTTCAAACTGCGTATAGTTCAAACTTGAACTCTCTTGGTAACCCTAAGGATAAAATTCCTGTTTTAGAAAAGCTGGGAATATGTGAAATTGATTTTAAAGATTACAGTAACTGCAAGTTCTACATGAGAAAAATAATTAATGTTATCGAGTTACGTTAATTACAAAACTATAATTAATGACTCAGTCGAAAATTAGATATTTTACATAGGTATGTACACCTACTTAGGTAAATTACTAGTTAAGAACACCAACCCAAAAACAAAAATCATTACAAAGGCAATAAATAGAACTTTGAAAGGAATTTTATTACCCTAAAGTACCTAATATCGTATACTTAATCCTAATTATAGGCATATTATAGTTTATTTGCAAATAAACTTTATAAACATCCTTACAATTTCAACTAGTCAATTCTCAAGGCTAGTAATGAACTGAAAGAAGTTAAAAAATAAATTAATGTGAAAAATCACATCCCTGACCCTGAATTGGCAACAATAAACACATTTGCAACCACTCCTTAGAAAAATTTCTTACGACTATTAGTTCGTATTATTATAAATAGCGTCTCAAACGTCAAACGCATCAAGAAATCGTGAGCATGGTTAATTGTATTAGTATAACATGTCGTCTTTGGTCTGGTGGCACACCCATTTATAAAATAATACCTCCATACACTTGTTACTGGTAAACATGATAAATAGGTAAAGTGTTATGAGAAACTTGGTTACGTAGCGACTAAATAATTTCGAAGCATATTACGCGATTATGATCTCAAGTTCACCGCATTATTGAATGCCATTGGGTTATAGGAAGTGCAAAAATCAATCTTCTAAAACCTAAGGCATCCAGCATTTTGCAATTCATTGCTTACCGACCCACTAGAGTTCTTAAAATATACTTACAATTAGTAAGTTTCAAAAACATAAAGGCAATAAAAAATAATATTTTTTAATCCACATACACGTTATATTAAACTCTACCTAATTGTATGGTAAGGAGCATTAACTTATTTGTTCTCATCAGCACGCTATAGACAGTTGATATTTTCAAGGTACCAGATACATATCGCTGATATTTACTGTTAACTGTCAACAAGAGTCTTACGAACGTGTTCATGAAGCAAAGAATGCCCAATTATTATTATCCTTTCTTGAATTTGAATGCTCTGAAGTTTTATTTATTTTTAATGATCAGTTTTTATATTCTAATAATATCATTTAAGTAATATAAACTGTAACACTTTATCTAGTATGAGATATTTGTGTGAATGCTATTAGTTTATAGCCTCATCATTACATGCTTTACAGTTTGAAAACGCACCACTCGTAATTCATGAGGTGACGTCATGCGCAAACTTGGACAAATTTTGAATCAATGCTTCAGTTGTTACAACACTCGATTGACATGTGAGCGACCCGGGTTCTGTCCTCGGTTGAATCAATACGTTTTTTTTTTATATTTTATCTCCTAATATAAAGTAATATAAGAGCTTACTTACCTTAACTTAATGCTTGAACAACGAAAATAATTAGAATTCTAGTAGGTAAAATTATCTTTAGGAGTTCATTATTATCGACTATTATCACTTAAAGAATGGGATTATCTTTAGATTAGTCCCCTAAAGGGCATCAACACATATCTTTTTACACTATTCGGCTTTGATTTTTATTTTTTATAATACCATATGAAAAGAAAAAAGTGGAAATTGGAAAGGAATACATTTAAATTAATTGATACAGAGTGACAAAATTAATTTAGATACTATAATTTTGTTTATGAGAAACATTTCTTGACAATACATTATAATTATAAAATGCAGATAAAGATATAAAAAAATAAGTAATTATTGCTTCAAAGTACAGGACCATATCGACTTTGACGTATTACTAAAGAGAATTGTCTAAAACTGTTCTATATCTTCTCTTCATCATCTTTGAGTTCTTCTTGTTGAGATTTTTTGGAAGAGCATTCTGGTAAAAAAAATTAAAATAATTATGAGAAATAAAAAGCAGGATAACTTATTTGCAAAGTAAAAAAACTATAATTTAATATTATTTATACTCGTCATTTTAATTCTTATATTTGCTTTACTTACTTTTGTTAGACGATTCCCAGCCTATAAAGGCACCATTTTTCTTGTTTTCGGCTTTTAACCATTTCAGTAGGGGGTCAAAATATTCCAAAAGGGCACCAGCATCCATGTTTGGTTGACCTGTTAATTCTTTCATTGCTTCAGGCCATGGCTTTGATGAACCCATTTGTAGCATGTTTCTAAAGTTTCAAAAACAGGAAAAACACAATAGGTATATGAATAATCAATGTCTAAATATTGGCTAAAGACTTTATACCTTCATAGGGGCCTCTGGTTTTACGTACCAGTAATCGTGTACTCGTAAAACCAGGGGCCCAGGGTTTTATTTGGATAAACATATCGATAGAGATGAGTTCGTTCTCCTTACATAGTGTTCAAAACAAAATATCGAAAGTGTCAACATATTAACGAATGGAAGTGTACCAGGTATTGAAGATACATATTTGAGGTATGTATTTTCATTATGTTAATTCGTATAGGCAGCAACGTAATTTAATATCATAAAAGAATTCATAACCTCAAATCGTTAAAACGCATTGTTGCGACTGCGTTAGAGTGAATATCGTCGCTTTGTAGTACACACTTCCATTGCAAAATCATCACAACAGATCCATGCCGCCGAAAATTATATTTACACATATGAAAAAGTAAAAATTTACGGTATTAACTTACGCTAATGCATTACCCGCTGCGGCACTTTGGTAAATGTCGCACTCGTGCAACTTTTTCGTAGGGTCATTGGGGTCATACTGGTCAGCCTTTTCGCAAAGAGCTCGGTGAAATTGAAACTGGATAATAAAGCTAACGAAATAGCTGAAAACAAATATAGACATTTGTAATGTGCGCATGAGATTAAGGTTAGGTTAGGTTAGGTTAGGTTAGGTTAAAAGAAATAACCGTTAAAAAAGACCTCGTGGGACTTAGCACTTAATAATAATTCAGAGAAGCAATATAAATTAAAGCAGAAAAAGACTTTCTTTTTTTTGCTTATATAAATACTGCCATATTACCGGATATATGGGACATTGGCTACAATGTGATATTTGGCTGCTGGATCGAAGTCCTCCTCAGATCTATTGGTCGGAGGTTCAACCCCTTGATATTTCTCTCGTAATTCCCACCACTTGCAGTTATATTCGTCAGGGGTAATTTTACCAGAAAATACATCCCATCTCCACAAGTCCATTAAGTACCCAAAAGGTAGAAACGCTATTTTATCGAGACCTACCTACAAATATAAATAATTAGTTTTATTTTAATTACCTCAAGATACTATAAAGTCGCAAGGAGATTTATCAATAATGTTTAGTGTTTACGGCGAGTACGGACATGTTGAATGTTCAGTTAATATTTGACAGCCGCTTCGCTTGCACGTGTTTCGACTTGTCTTCGATTTTTCCCTATTCCAAAAAAATGGATCAAAGAATCTGTATCAAATTCTAAGGAGCTATTGGACTCTATCCGCGACGACCCAAATTTGCTCCAGAGTGTCATAACTTGTGACTAATCATAAGAATTATAGTTATTTCGAGGGAACCAAAGTTCAATCATCCCAATGAAGGGTCCGCACGAGCCAAGACCGGAAAAAGCCCGCCAAGTTAGGTCGAATGTGAAGGTTTTGCCTACAGTTTTCTTCAATTGCAGAGGCGTGGTGCATCATGAGTTCTTGCCACCGGATAGAACGGTCGATAAGGAATATTACCTCCAAGTTATGCGCAAAGCAATCTGCCAAAAACGGCCGGATTTGTAGAAGAGCAAAAATTAGCATTTGCACCATGATAAACGCTTCTGCTCATACATCTTTGCTTGTGTGTCCAAAAACAACATACTACTACTACATGTGACTTTTTCTTGTTCCCGAAACTGAAATGGCCCATGAAAGGATGACGCTACGCTACGATTGAGGAGATAAAATGGCATCCAAGTAGAAACTGAAGAAGATCACATAAAATGATTTCTTGAAGTGCTTCGAGGATTGAAAAAATGTTGGCGCAAGTGTATAATATCTTTGAAGGGGGCAAAATCTATATATATAAGAATGAATTGCTGTTCGTTAGACCGAGCGGTATGGCCTAGAGGTCTAGACCATTGCTTAGCATTCGGGAGTACGCCGGTTCGATTCCGGGTCCCTCTGCCTTGATCCAAGTTTTTTTGTGGCTTCCTCGGATCAGTTAGGAAAATGCTGAGGTAGTATAATTCCTCAGATAATCTTTCACTCCCTTCTGTCTTCATTTCGTCCGTCTCATCTTTTTCACCCGAACCACCACCCACCCATTCCCACGATTCCTGAAAGCAGGCTGAAGAGGGCCTTCCGCCGCTCTACCTTCCGACGTAGTCCGGAGGGACTAACCGCCCACAAGCACTACTGGCTGGTGGGAATGAAACACCCAAAAAGTTTTAAGAAAGGCTGTTCGTTAGTTTCGCTAAAACTCGAGATCGGATGGACCAATTTGGCTAATTTAAGTCCAGAGAAGGTTTAAAAGGTGAATAAATATGTAAATTGTTTCAGATTATTTTTGTGTAGATTGATAAATCTTAAGTTCTGTCACAAATTAAATTTCTGGACGCAACCATAATATTTGACATTTGACAACCAAGTTTATTTTATACAAAAGTTTAGGTCTCTTATTTATCGATACTGAGGCAGTACGGAGTCTGCCGGGTCAGCTAGTAGATGATAAAAATGTCTTGACTAAAATTAATAATTAATATTTATCGAATAGCTTTCTTGCCGGATGCTCCACAACATCACAAGAATTAGTTACCTACTATTAAAGTACGTACCTTGTACAAGTTATTTATGGAAACTTCGGGATCTTCCGTAAAATCAGAATCTAGAAGTCCAATTTTCTTTAAATGTTTTGTCGTGGACACAGATAACGACATAACGTCTCCCACCGCCTCGTGAAAACCGCTGTTCGCGCCTTTTCGAAATATGACGGGCTGATGTTTATACTGCAAATAATACTGTATATGGCCCATTTCGTGATGGGCGGTGTAGAGGTCGCCTTCGTTCACTTGCGTGCATTGTTTTATGCGGAAATCCTTGCCGTCGTAGAAGTCCCACGCGGACGCGTGACACACGAGTTCTCTACCATCGTTCGGCTTCTCTAAAATGGAACGTTCCCAAAACAGTGGTGGCATTGCACTGAGATTTAACGATACGAAGAATTCTTCCGCCAGTTTGAACATCTTGAACGGAGTGTAATTCTGTAAGGACAGAAAATCAGAACAAAAATTTATTTCAAAATGGTGAAAAGTGAAAAAGATTGTGTTTAACCGTATTAATTCGGCGAATTTGCTCAATAACATTTAAATCTTTTAAGTTTTCAACAACTTGAATATTAACGAAAATACTTCAGTCATTCATGCATGAGTCGTGTAAGATATCAACCTGCACTCTTTTGGAGTAAATGTGATATATGATGCATGTACCTGCGACCTATGCAAACATTAATTCTAAATCGCTATTAAAATGACCATCATCATCATCATACGGTCGTCAGTCTTAGGACTAATAAATTGGTAAAGGCTTTCACGGATAGCAAGTTAACTGATGTTGTCCTGATTGGGGTTTAAAGGCTGCCGTCGGTTGGAGTTGCTTCCTAACGTTTCTCTAGCACGACTGGCGAGTTTCTTTAATGATCTTTCCATCTCCAATGCTGGATGTGAATAACATGTGAACCACATCCAACATGGAGATCTAAAGAAGCTCGCCGCTACTCGTGCTAGTGAAACGTTAAGAAGTAACTCCAACCGATGACAGCCTCTAGATCCAAATCAGGACAACTTCAGTCTTACGACTGGTTGGACACGCGTCTGTACTCTTTCCTATTCTGCTTTAATCTTCACATTTCCCTAAAACTAACACATCCCACATTCTTAACTCTTCGTAAACAGTAATATCGAACCTACGGGGTGCCCAGAAAGGGTAGGGGGTGTTTGTAAATTCAATTTTAGACAATGTTTTTGAAAATTAAGTGCCAAATATGATGTTATCCAAAAGTTGACACTCCTCCAACCGAAAACGGAAATTAACCGCCACGCGCCAACACATTTTTCTTGAAACGGCGGCCATTTTGGTGTGGATATTGTGCTTCAATTGCAGTAGAGATCGTAGTTTGTTTGCATACACCTTCTCTTTAAGGTATCCCCATTAAAAATAATCAGGATGTATGAAATCGAGGCTTCTCGGAGGCCAGTTGATGGTACCTCGACAAAAGATAACTTTTTGAGGTAACTTCTCATTTGTAACCTTCTCTATCCACGGTATCATCATCAGTCGCCTGTAACACCACATTGCGAAGGTTTCTAGCCTTTTCTTTTTCCAGAGCCGTGCTCCACTTATACACCGTTATCAACCCTTTTCGATGTTCGCGAGCACAGAAATTACCTCTTTTTATTAATGGTGACTCAGTCCTACGCCCCCCTTGTTTTATATCTCTACAGCTCCTTTCATCCGTAATTATCTGACTTCTTAGCGACTTCTTCTAATTTTTCCTTTCCAATTTTACTTTGACTTTCCCTACTTTTTCTTGCCTTGCATACTAATATTCCATTTTATTTAAGACTGTCTCTAACTCAATGATAACATTTCTACATACATCATCTACAAACCTAAGCATCCTAATCTTTTGCCCCGGTATATCTATCCCTAAAGTTGCCGTGTCTTTAATTATGTATATCGCGTCTTCTACATATACATCCTTGTCTGACTCCGTAATATTTACTTCTCTACACTCTTGTATCTCTGTATTTCACCCCTACATTTTTAAGTTCATTTATCATCTTGTCCCATTTAACATTGTCAAAAGCTTTATCTAAATCATGTCTGTTGTATTTCTAATAGCACGTACGAGTGCTCTGGCTAGACGAAGCTATTCTGACGTCATAGAATCTCGGCAGCAAATGGTTGTAGAGCAGCGAGGTTTGAAGATTTTTCCTAGATATTTTCGTACTAAAACTTAAATTTTTGGTTCACGCTCTTCTCTAAGTACAGTCAAACTTCCCTAACTTGCAACCAGTTATTTTCGAGTTTGAGAGAATTCGAGTTCAGGAAAATTTCTGCTTTAGCGTCTTATACATTTAGAATAGCATTTATCTCTGATTTGCGGCAGCAAATGGTTGTAGAGCAGCGAGGTTTGAAGATTTTTCCTAGATATTTTCGTACTAAAATTTAAATTTTTGGTTCACACTCTTCTTTAAGTACAGTCAAACTTCCCTAACTTGCAACCAGTTATTTTCGAGTTAGAGAAAATTCGAGTTCAGGAAAATTTCTGCTTTAGCGTCTTATACATTTAGAATAGCATTTATCTCTGATTTGCGGCAGAAAATGTACAAATTAATTTAGAAATTGTTTGAAAGGATTTTTAAATTCTTCATCATCATCGTCATAAGGTCGTCAGTCCTAAGACTGGTTGGACACGTACCTCCACTCTTTCCTATCCTGAGCTAAACATCTAAACATCCTTAACTATTTGCGAACAGTAATCTAATCTAGGTCTACCCCTNTAAAAATAATAATAAATATCGTACCTGCTTGACCATTTCTGGTGTGGCCTCAAGCTTCACTTTACCCGGAAATGGTTGGCTAAACCCTTCAACATGTTCCCAGACTTGTGCCCACATATTACCTATCCAAAAAAGAACATAATATAAACAAAAATTTGTAGTGGATAAATACAGTAATATGTATTTTTGGAAATTAAACTATTCCGAAAAAACGCTGTCCATACGGTAATAGAACCTCAAACTTCTTCAATATATTTTTTCTTAACTTTAAGTATTAACCCATCTATCTATCGACCCGTAGCTTTTTGCGTACTTAAAATTTTATATATTCAGGAAAATTGTTTTGATGTAGTTTTAATACAAATAATAGGCACCGATATTTTATTTTTACGCTTTAAATTACCCAAAAGATGAGCTGGTATGGGTCCCTTTTCGGACACGATATCTCCATACTTCTTCCTCAACTGGAACCTGACGTATGCGTGTATTTGTAAATACAATGGTTTAAGCTGTTCCCACAATTTCTGGACTTGCTGCCTAAAATCGGAAGATTCGAAATCGTCCAGCCACATTTCCGTGTAATCGGTGAAATTGTTCAAGCGAGCCGCTTCATTCGACAAGTCAACGTATTCTTTATACAAATCTCTCACAATACGAGTCTTCTTTCTCCACTCAACCCACGCATGTTTCAGTTCTTCGGGATCTCTAGAAGTTTCGAACACTCGCGTTATCTCTAGAAAAAAAAATTAACTCCTAGTATACGACCAATGTACAAGAAACACGGGACAGAGTAGAGGTGTACTTTAAATAGTACTACATACTATCAGCGATGAACAAAAGAAGTTATTTAATTATGTGTTATTGTAATAGGCGTCAATGTGTAGTGGCGTAGTAATGAGGTGTAGATACTTACATACTTGACACAACACAACCGTCATTATTTACACTCTCCGTCGATGTACAGGTCTGACGAACGAAGCTGGCAAGCGGTCGTCCAGGTACTTGCCCATTTATGACCTAGTTGGGTAAATCACTCGGAACCGATTCGCAAATAAGCTTTCAGTAGGCGTAAATTATTGTGTTAATACAGATAGGACAGTGGCGTACTAGTAAATAATATAGAATCATAACTTATCAAAAAATAAAAAGTAAAACTAATGCTTTTGTTTGTTTTGTAGTTAGTTTTCACATTCACTGTCCTCAACGGAATCACTATCACTGTCGCCGACATCAACAATTAGTTCTTCGGTTTGTATGTCTATTACTTGCTCATTATCTAACATAACATTTAAGTAAATCACGTTAAACTAAATTATTGGGCCTACTATTTCTTTTTTATATAAACTTTAAATATCTACAACAAGAAAACCAAATAAAACTAAGTTAATTTTTTTAATTAAATTTAGTAAATTGATTCCTGCATTCAAATATTTAATCTACGTCTGTACCTAAAAGTGCCTACTTTTGCCACCACGCATCCACGCCATTTTAAAATTTCCGCCAGCTTCGAGCGTCAGACCCGTAGCTGCTTATTGCAACTTTTCTGTACTTCGCCAAATCACGTCCAGGGCCGGTTTTCTTAAAAAAAAAATTGTCCCATAATTCTGTATACGTAGTAGGATTGCTCCAAAATATGTGTATTTTGTTCGTCATTAGAAAACTGATTAAAACATTAGTAAAAGAGGGACAGGGCGATTTTAGGGAAATGCTAATGTTTACTCAGAATAGAACAAAATGAAGGTGGATGGTAATCAGTATTGGCTATTTTATTACGACTGGGCTATAATTTCCCTTTATACTTTATTGTGGTTAGGTTACGCTTTCGAAGGAAATGGGCTTCTGTTAACATTTTTAATCAAAATAACTAACATTTTTATAAATGAATGACAATTACCTGGTTCTAAAGCCAAGTCGCACCTTTCTTGATCTTTATAATCGCATATTTTGGCCTTCGCATAAACTGCTTCCATATCGCTAATGATCTTTTCACGTTTGCTGTATTTTTCCTCTGGTAATGCAGACACACCTAAAATTGAATACTTTTCGAATTTCCTTTTCAAATCGCCATCGTCAAAGACCCTCCAGTTGTATTTAATAATTTCTTGCCAGTCTTCTTTTATCTGTTTTGCTGCTTCAGCGCTAACTTTTAACTGAAAATAACTAGATTTAGATATATAAGAACAAAGGCTTTCACGGTCGAAATCCATGGTAGAATGAAGATTCGGGCAATAGGGCCGTGTGGTCTAAGTGAACTAATCTGTCCAGACGTTTCGTCAGCTACTGCGACTGACATCTTGAGCACTACCACTGAGGATGTCAGCCGCAGTAGCTGACTAAACGTCTGGACAGAATAATTCCCTTAGACCACGGTCCTATAGCCCGAATCTTCATTCTACTATACTATAGATTTAACTATTTTTCAAAATCATTTTTGTTTTATACAAAACTGATATTTATTTGTTAGGATTACATGGTTAGAATAACGTGTTTGTACCTGATATTGCAAATTTTCTTCGGTCAAATTGGAGGCATAAGCCCAGCTGGCTAATGTCACCTTATTGCTCAAGGTGGCATCCCTGGAATCGATAATTTGCATAAACGTCCGCGCCCTCAGTTCTTCTTCTTCTATTTCTGGATCAGAACTTGTTGTGAAGCTAACTAACAAGCACACTCCCAGCAAACGTAAAAAACTCATAGTGCTAAAATGAAGATAGATATTAGTGTTAAAGTAGGAGTAAAACTAACTCTATTATTATAGAAACATAAACATGTCTACTATCGAAAACAGATAACCCCGCCGTTTTTGACAAAAGCCGCTAGAAATAAAGCGCCTTTTAGATGTTGTGTTCGAAAAGGAAACCGAAATCCTGTAGTGTTGAAATTTCTTCATTAAAAACGAAAATACAGTTTTTAATTAAAAATAAATGTATGCAAAGTTCATTTAATCGTTTCTGAGTTAATTACGATTTTAATTAAAATTTTTTTCTCGATTATGAACGAATATAAAGATAGGATACGAATTATTAGAAGTGACTGATTTTAGGTATCTAGGAAGTTAGATAAGTCAGGACGGAAGAAGTAGTAGGTATACAAAACAGGAGATAGCGCAGAGTCGAGCGGTCTTCAATAAAAAGAAGTCACTTCTATGCTCGCGAACGGTTAATTTAGTAATTGGAAAAAGATTGTAAAAAGTGTGTGTTTGGAGCGCGGCGCTGTACGGGTGCGAAACATGAACGGTGGGCGCGGCGAAAAATAAAAGATTAGAAGTATTCGAAATGTGGTGTTACCGTCGAATGATGAGGATACTGTGGATGGAGAAGATTAGAAATGAAGAGGTATTAGAAAGAGTAGGAGAACAGAGGACTCTGTGGAGGTCAATAAAAAAAAGGCGAGACAGGTTGGTAGGACACCTTCTCAGGCATGAGGGTCTAGTTAAAGATATTAGAGGCAGAAACAGGAATTAAAAGGAGTAGAAGTAGACCTAGATAAGATTACTGTTTACAAATAGTTGTTCTAGTTTTCGCTAAATGCGAAGACTAGCTAAGGGTAGGAAAGAGTGGAGGTGGGTACCGAGCGGCATGGCCTAGAGGTTTAAACCATTGCTTAGCATTCGGGAGGACGCCGGCTCGATTCCGGGTCCATCTACCTTGATCCAAGTTTTTCTGTGGTTTCCTTGGAACACACTGCTGAGGCAGTAATATTCCACAAATAATCTTTCTTTCTCTTCTGTCTTCATTTCGTCCGTCTCATCTTTCTCACCCGAACCACCCACCCACTCATTCCCACGATTCCTGAAAGCAGGCTGAAGAGGGCCTTCCGCCCTACCTTCAGGCGTAGTTCGGAGGGACTGCCCGCCCACCAGCATTACTGACTGGTGGGAATGAAACACCCAAAAGTTTTTTTTTTGGAGGTGGATGTCCAACCAGTCTTAGTGACGACCTTAGTAGAAACCAATTGTAATTCCTTTTTTATAGAAAATTGAGTTCACTACAAAAAAGGTCCGAATGTCAAATTATGTAGGTAATTCCGATTTTACATTTTAACTCATTCATGTCATAAAAAAGTAACAATTTCATGTAAGAGCCTTTTTCCCGCATGAAATCGAACCGGCGTACTCCCGAATGCTAAGGAATGGCCTAAATCTGCAGGCCATGCCGCACGGTATAGTGCATTACGCACCAAGAGCAAGATTCCCACTATTCGTCTAGACGGCAGCAGATATCCGTCAATCTTTTGACAAATTTTGGATGGTTAGCACGTTTCCATCACGATGTTTAAAAAAATCATTCGTTTACTGATTTAGCAGTTATTGCTCTTTTGCATTACAAAAAAGATGAGGTGATGGAGAATGGACACACAAATTTTATTAGACAGAAAAGCTGAAGGGAAATTTTTCACTTTGATACGTATAAGGAAGGGTTAAATGATGAAGTAAAATTTCATTAGTGTTTCATGTACATGTTTCATCAGTTTAATGATTTCACTTAATAACACCCATCTGGTTACCAACTAACTGAATGTATTCTCATTGGCATCAAGAACCGTCTACAACAGACACAATTACGTCAAGGTATTCTCTCCTTCGTTATCGGTCACCAACAGAGGCCGACTAGGCATTAACTATCCATACACAGATAGTGTGAATACAGTATATAGAATGGTTATGACGACCTTATGATGATGATGACGATTATGTCGGACAACTGACGGACGGTTGCCTGCCGTCGTCTAGATGATAGTGTGAATCAAACTTTATTAGGAAACGATTTCAACACCCGTCACGTAGAAATTGCCATATGAAGTCTGGTAAAATCCTTTCCTCAAACAGTAACTGGAACGTTGCACTTTTTGGGAAAAATTATCGTACCTTGGTTGGAGTGCAATAAAACATTGTGTAACCTCATCCCACAATTTTTTTTCATGCAAATTTTTCATAATTGGATCATTTTCGACTATTTTCAAGAAAAAAAGGTTAAGTTTTCGGAAAAGTCGTGACTTCCTTCGCAATCCTTATCAAGAGAAGAAATTCAACCCTGCCTGTTACTGATATATGACGTTTTAAATAGCCACACAATATCATTTCATCATCATCATCATCATAAGGTCGTCAGTCCTAAGACTGATTGGACACGTACCTCCACTCTTTCCTATCCTGAGCTAAACTGCGCATTTCCCTAAAACTAGAACAACCCACATCCTTGACTATTTGCGAACAGTAATCTAATCTAGGTCTACCTCTACCCCTTCTAACTCCTGTTATGCCTCCAATATGTTTCTGACTAGACCTTCATATCTGAGAAGGTATTCTACCAACCTATCTCGCCGCTTTTTTGTTGATTTCCATAGAGTCCTCAGTTCTCCTATTCTTTCTAATATCTCTTAATTTCTAACCTTTTCTTTTCCGCCGCGCTTCAAACATACACCTTTAACAATCTTTTTCGAATTTCCAAATTAAGCGTTCGCAAGCATAGAAGTGACTTATTTCTATTAAAGGCAACTCGACCCTGCGCTATCCTCTGCTTTATATCCTTACTACTCCTTCCGTCCTGACTTATCTGACTGCCTAGATATCTAAAATCAGCCACTTCTTCTAATTTTTCGTCTCCTATCTTCATATTCGCTCTTTCTCTACTTTGTCTTCCTTTACATACCAGTATTTTAGTTTTACTTTTATTCATTTTCATACAATACTATTTTGTCAGTACCGCTTCCATTTTATTTAAAGCTATCTCTAATTCCTCCTTGCTACTGCTATATCATCTGCAAATCTAAGCATACTAATCTTTTGCCCCTGTATATTTATCCCTACAGTTGTACAGTCTTTAATGATATTGATCGCGTCTCCGATGTATAGATTAAGAAGTAGCGGTGACAGTGTACATCCCTGTCTGACTCCCTTCCTAATATATACTTCTCTACATTGCAACCCTAGCTCTATAACTTCCTGTTGTTCTTTATACAAACTATCACTTTTCCATCTTAGTAACTTGTCCCTACATTTTTAAGTATATTTAACATCTTGACAATATCATTTACCACTCATGAATATTTCGACATTCAAACAAAACAACACACATATATATATATATATATCGAACTTTCTAATTCTGTTGCAATTCGTAATGTACATATAAATAATACCTACCTGTTCAGTTAGACATAAAAGACGTTATAAGTACCTGATGTAATTTAAGTTCAATTAGATCACATACCAGTCTAATTAACACAGCGTTTCACTTACAATTAGTATCAGTTAAAGAAAAAAGTCTTCAAACGATGGGCAGTCAACAAACTCTATTGTCAGACAATAATTTTAACATGTCATATAATGACACCCACCGCGGTCACTGTCAAATGCAAATCGAAAATCAGCATACGCCTACCACTTATAATTTTAACGAATGGCTATAAAACTAGACATGTTGATTAGCATACGTATATGATATGGTATAATAATTATCACTAAATAGTATAAAACAAAGTCGCTTTCCCGCTGTCTGTCCCTATGTATGCTTAAATCATTAAAACTACGCAACGGATTTTGATGCGGTTTTTTTAATAGATAGAGTAATTCAAGAGGAAGGTTTATATGTATACATACATACATGCATAATATAGCAGGGAAATGCTGATAATTTTAGAGGTTTCTAATGTGATGTCGTAAATAAACACATTTTTTGCGCTTACATCGCAAACGCTGGCTGAACCCTACGAGATAGATCAAAATAATATACTACAATATTATACATCTTAAAAGGGGTCTACAAAAAAGTCCGGGATGGTATATGTCTATCTCTTAGGGATGACCCACAATAGCCATTTTTATCCTTTACTTTTTATGAGAAATAATGACTTATTTACGAAGCGGTTGTAAGCAATACAGCATTAATTTTTATCTAATTAAGTACCTCAAATACATTGTGAATTTAATATAGATCAATATGGCCCTTTACAGCATGTAATTTAAATGAATATTTTCGAAGATATTACAGATTTAAAATGCAGGGACATAGCCGTTGCGGCGGTACCGGCCCCGGGAGGCCGGTTTGTATTATCTAATGACATAAAAAACTGTGAATGTTGTATATAAAGACATTCTGTAGTATATTTAATATGTTCAGGGGGTATCTTTTGAAGATTTCTCCTTCTCGATAATAATCTAAACAAAACAAAAATATACATATTTAGTATCAGCATTGCACCCGTGCGAAGCTGGGGCGGGTCGCTAGTTTACTTATAAATCACGTCACTGACTATTGTAACATTTAACCGCGATATTTGGTTTCAGTTTAACACTGATTACAATAAAGTCTTAAAATAATAATGACATTTTAGATACGATTTTAAATTCAAACGTATAATTGTAAAGTAAATTTAACCCGTCGTCGAAGACAAGAAGGTAAAAATAATTGAAAGTGTGAAAAATTAAATATTGGGTTATTAATCAATTGAATTAAATAACTGAATAACCAAATTAATAAGGGGCTTTTATTTTGCATGCGAATCATTTCGTATCAAAGTTACATAAACTGATTTAACTTTTACCACTTGTAGGTGTAATATCATTAAGTTCTTAACAACAATACACATCTCACAAATGAGGTGATCTAAAATAAAATACCAAATTGACAACATGTCTGTCGACAAGCAGCATTTGGGACACTGCATTTTTTTGCATTTCAATCAAAGAAGAATGCTGCTGAAGCTACAGAAATAATTTGTGCTGTCTTGGGGGAAAACGCTGTAACAAGTGGTATCAATGGTTCAGAATGGGAGATTTTTATCTGTCAGACCGGGATCGTTCGAGCCAACGACAAAAGTTTGACGATGAGGAACTGAAAAAACTGTTAAGAAAAAATCTTACTCAGACTGAAGCCGAGCTTGCACTGCAACTAAGTGTTAACTCAGCAATGCGTTTCACATCGCCTACATCAACTTAGATAAGGTAGATGGGTTCTGCATAACTTCACCCCAGGAAACAAAGAGCGACGGGTGAACACGGCCAGGTTTAAAAGAAAAGATTTTCTCTACAAAATTATCAGCTGCGATGAAAAATGGGTGTTGTACGAAAACCCTAAACGTAAAAAATCTTATGTGAATCCCGGTGAACCGTCAACATCGACTCCAAAGCTCAATATCCATTCACAAAAAGTGTTGCTATGTAAGGTACCTGGGTCGAATACGGCCACCTTAAAGTTTGACATTTTTATGTGGTTTTGATGTTTTAAATAAAATACATTTTTAGAATCTGAAACTGATATAATTTGAACAAATAAAATACTAAAAAAAATTAACAAAATCATAATACTAACAAAATGAACAAATAACACTAATAAAATCAAGCACAAATTATTTTAAAATTTAACATTAATAAATAGAAAATAATAATATAATAAATCATATTGTTGGCTCACAATACTTTTTGACGCACATGCGAAGTATACATGGAGTAAAAGGGTATCCAACATCGCTTAATAGTATGATACGAGATGCTAGCTCCTATTCTTCCTGAGCATTAAGTAGTGGTTTTCTTTCCAATTTAAATTTTTCGAGTTCTTCTAAGAAGAATCAGAAAATCCCATAAGGAAAATATGGCCACTTGGTGGTCACCTTTTATATTGTTATATTTACCATAACCTAAGATACTAAAATAAATAAGTTAAAAATATGCATGGATATTTCATCTACGGTTGCTAATAGTTAAATTAAACTAAATATTTTTCACTACAGTCTAATTATAATATGAGAAATTCATAAGAACTTACGATTGAAAATTTATAACAGCGACGCACTTTTCCGTTGAACTGATAATGGCGGACTGGAGGGAACGCAGGGCGAGTTGCAACTACCCCATTCCATTATGTTCACATACACTATCTAACACGAATACTTACTGACGACGGCTCAGCGGTATTTTATTAAGGAAAGGGATATGGCCATATTTTCCGGCTGGCCAAATTCGACCAGGTTCCTTATTTGGTGAGATATGAAAACCGTAGTGGATTATAAGTTACTGAAATCTGGCCAGACCGTTACTGTAGACTAGTAGTCCTTTTTAACGAAGTATTCAAAAATAATAAAGCATACATGCGAAGTGTTCCATATAAAAAAACTGAAGTCGATGACACTTCACAAACAGGAAGCAACATTGATTAAGCTTTCATAACTTTGTCCCAAGTAGTCAGGCATTTAAAAATAAAGGAGTTATGGCTTGGGGTGTTTTATTGTAATCCACCCTGTATACCTAGAATGTATAGATAAGGTAGTATTTGTTCAAGAGTTAATGTAAAAAATCTTTCAAATACATCTAATTACTACCTGCACACATGTTGTCAAAACCTTTCTCTTGTATGCAATTATTTATTCATTACTTTTAGAACTAACACAAAATTAGATGCGAATAGTAATCGCCAATTTACATATGTATTTATACTTTATACAAAATAATTTTTTCATGTTTCTTTAAAATCAAATTTTTAGGTTATGGTTAGTAATAATATTACTCGGTCTTAAGCTTCGAGAAGAGTTTAAAGTACTTGAAGTGCTTTCATTTACTTTTTACGGTAGAAATCGTAAGCTAAACCTAAATTATGTATACTAAGAACTAGAACTCTAGAACACTATAAAATGGTGGTATTCTCGTCCGCCATTTTGGTTCCATCCGATGGTAAGAAATCATAGAGAAAAGCATTGAAAAAACATGTAGTCAAACAGTAAACACCTATGCTTCGGGCTGCGATATCATCAAGGTGCATTTTATAATATTTCATCGCTAAGTTTAGTTTTCCCCAATCCGATAGAATTTTTAAAATCCACCCCTGCGGGTGTGGAATGGAGAGTCAACCTTTGTATGGAAAACTTAATATAGATACTCTTCAAAACTATATATACGAAACACTTTGACAATTAATAGTGGTTAATATATTATATATTAATGTGAAAATTCATTTTTCAGTGTTTTACCCACTATAAACTACCTCAGGTTGATGAGGAAAATTTTGTTGATGCTGTCACACCCTCGCCGCGATTCGAAATCGTAATTTAGTGGTGCATAAAGCTAAAAGTCCCGGGTTCGATTCCAGACGAGGGTGTGACAACAGCAACAAATTTTCCCTCATTAGCTTAAGGTAGTTTATAGTGGATAAAAAATTGAAAAATTAATTTTGACATTAATACTCTTCAAAACAATAATAAAGTATTTTGTAAGCTTTAGAATGTTTTCAAATTTACCCCTATATTTGTAAATCATTCTGGGGTGTTAAGATGCAGGATGTTAACTGCAAAATCTGTTAAGACATAGAAACCATTAGTTACAAATAAAATAAATCCCATATTGATCTTAAAAACAATTTATTTTTTTCCAAATTCTAATCACAGAAATAAGGTAGATCTTTTACATAGTTATTCCAAGTATAGAATTTGCAATATGATTTTGTTCTAATTTAGAGATTTACTGCCCGTAAAAATTGCACAGGTTTCCCTGTTGCCTGAAGGGCTTCCAATATTTTCAGTTCGTTTTCCATAGTGGATGTTACCCTTACCTTTTGATTTACCAAATCGACTTCAGAATCTATAACACCACTTCCTGCATAAGAAAAAGATAAATAAAAAATGTGCTACGATACAGAGTTAAGATTCGTGTTGATGGGCCATGTTCGAAATAAACGGTAAAGTGGGGACGTTTCGTCAGCAACTGCGATTAACATCTTCAGAGGAAACTGCGTTGACAACTTCGAAATCTCGACAGCGTCTAACGCAGTTTCTGTTGAAGTTATCAACCGCAGTTCAATGGATTGAGTAAAAATTAAAAAAAGTGTTGTAATCTGTTTTTACTTTGAATTTTATTTAATTTAAATAAATTAACTATTGGGATCCGTCAAATGGGCATACACCATCTGGTCGCAAAATTTATAACTCGAATGAGGGAAAAATTTAAATAGGAACTGTGCACGCAAATTGTAAAATTGTTTATTAAAATAATAAAACACGTTAAAAAAGTAAAAATTTTTTTGATGATGGAGTCGACGAAGTTTTCTTCTTAAGTTAAATTAAATAAAAAGTTAATATNTTCTGAGGCCTTCACATCTTTTACGCCGATCACAATCCTGTCTCGAATTAATTCGTCTCTCAAAGTTCCGTACTCACATTTATCTCTCAGTGTATGTAGCGCTGTGATGAATTCGTCCACCGGCTCCCCGAATGCTTGCACTCTTGCGTTGAACTTTGCGCGCTCGAACACAATGTTTTTCTTCGGATGGAAATACTCGTCGAAAGCCTTGCTAACTGTAGCAAACGTGGCCGTTTCCAGTGAAGCGCTCGGGATCACCTGCTTTAATATCTCTTCCGCTTTCTCTCCCGCACAATAACAAAACAAATCGATTTTTTCTTTATCTGATTTGCTCTCCAGACCCGAAATAGATAAATATCTTCCGAATCTTTTCGACCAAACTGGCCATTCCTCCGGTGCGTTAAAGTTAAAAGCACATGGCGGACTCACTCGGATCGGTGCTGCTGTCGTTTCCGGCATTTTGTTTGTTTGTTTGCTTTTTTTTCCTTCTTCCGCCGATTAGAAATGGCTGTAGATCTTGTCCTTGGATTTCCCGGTTAAACTTTTCTGGGTCCCACTTCTGACACCATGTTTCGGGAAGACTAGGTAGGAATAATGTAAGCACGTTTAGATGTTAACTGCCCGGAGGCCGGTACCGTAGTGTCCCCCGCAAGTGCTCACCAGTCCGCCGTTAGTCCTCAGCTCGTTTCTGATTGGCTGCTGCCCATAGAACTCTACTGGCCAGTGGCAATCACTTCCAGAACATAAATCAAGTTTAAAATATTTTTAGCGTCAATCTCACGTAAGGGGAAGGGGGGTCCTGGCAAATCTCACTAAATCTCACCAAATCTCATCTAAGGGGGGGGAGTCTAAAATGACCGAAGAAGAGCTCAGGTAATTAATGGATGCCCCCTTAACTCTGATTCTTTATTATTGTGAAGTCGTTTACAGCCGTAATAGCTTTGCCCAAATTTTTTATCAATAACTGGGTCATTTTAAGCCACTTTCAACAGTAGAAACTTAAGTTTTCATACAAGCCTTGATACGGAAGTTTTACCTTACTTCGCGAACTTATTAATAAATAATTAATTATTAGGGATAAAATTTTTGTAGGTACCTTTCATGTTATCCAAGACCTTTTTGATGTGATTTCCACACCCCGCACATTTCATTGCAACTTTAAACTCGTAAATTTTTCGCTTGAAAACAATTAAAATATATTAAAATGTTTTGATAATTAATTAAATGAATTAGATAGGTGTATTGAGTAAATTCTTACCTTTGTTAACATTTTTCTATTTTTATTGTAAGTTTTTGGGTATTATTTTATTATTTTTTAAAAATTTTGATTTTTTCTTCACAAAAAATTTTGACTTGAAATGTTTTTAATTTTTATTTGACATTATCATAGCTTACTTTAAAAATGGATTCAACAACAGTTCAAAATAATTTTATATTATAGGGAGGGAACATTCAATAGTTTTTAATGTTTTACATGTAAACATGGGCGTAGCGAGACATTTTTCCTAAGTGGGGTGATTTTTAATATTTTTAATTTTTATTTGACATTATCATAGGTCACTCTAAAAATGGATTCAACTACAGTTCAATATAATTTTATATTATAAGGAGGGTAACGTTCAATAGTTTTTAATGTTTTGCATGTAAACATGGGCGTAGCGTGAGGCTTTCACTAGGTGGGCTGATTTTTTATAGCTGTATGTTTATATGTATAGGTTTAATGTGCTTAGCATGTATATTTTTAAACTTTGTGTCGATATTGTAATTCGTCAGAGACTTTTCCAAGCGATGGGGGTGGCAATCCCTCCTTGTCCCTACCTATCTACGCGCAAACACGCAAATAATTTCTTTTTAACTGAAGTAAGAAGATCTTTAATTAAATATAATCTAATATGGACTTATGACCAATACCAAACATTCGTAATGGCTTTACAGCTTACTATTATATATATATACTATTTCAGTAAGGTATGAAATTTAACATAGTAAAAATAGTAAAACATACAGTAAACACAGACTAGGTCTGAATGCGACTTTTAAAGGTTGGATTGCGTTTTCATTGGTGCTTATCAGCTTCTGTTCTCTGTGATCGAACTGGGTAAAAAGTGTGGTTGAGAGGTAAAAAAATGTTGATGGTAGGGGCGCTCAGATTTAATTAACCCTGGTGATGATGAACAAAACAAGACCAACACCAATATTATCCCAGTCTTGGTATTAGTCTTGCTAAAAAACTTCTAGTCTCGGTCTTAGTTTTGGTAATATAGTTTTGGTCTTGGTCTTGCGGATACAGTCTTGGTCTTGCTCATTTATTCTGATACTTTCTTCTCTTCCCTTCACAGACACGGTCATTGTCTTAAAAGCTGAAATTTTCTGTCATACATGCGAGCTTTCTTGACTTTTAAAGAAAATAGTATCGATAGTTAGAGTTATCGAAACATGAGGACTGGCCTTTTAACGAACAAAATAGTACAAGGTACTTGAAAGAAGTAAAAAATATCGAAAAAAAAAATAGCTTGTCGGTATAATTCAACCATGTGTTATGCAGACATAACAAAAAAAAACAGTCGCTCCGAGGACATTCTCGTAGATCCCTTTTTCCAAACAGTGGTAAAGTTTCTTTTTTTTGTATGCAGTGTTAAAATGAAGGCAACGAAACTGAAAATTTCAAATAGGTACTAAAATGTGTTGTTCCAAGAAAATAATTCATATATTAAAGTTGCTTTAAATAGTTTAATTCATAAATCTACCGCAAGTACCTAATCATTATTCATTTAGTCTTGCGTAGTTCGTTCCGTCTTGGTTTTGGTCTTATTCTTGTTCGTTCGGTCTTGGACTTGATAGTATAAAGACAGTCTTGATTTTGGTCTTGGTCATGCATAAGACCAAGACGAATTTTACTCATCACTAATTAGCACAGAGGGTACTGCACCTAAATATGCCACTGATGTGCCTGTCGTCTGCAATCTCTACCTGTGGCGATTCGTCCCATATAAAAAATGGGATTCACCAAAATTTCTTAGAATTTCGATATATATCGAAAGGTAACTGTCAAAATTTCATTCAAATCGACCCTATAGTTTCGGCTGTATGTTGGTGAACAGTCAGTCTGGGTTAACTCCTTTATATTGTAATGTTCGTGGGTTTAACAAAATTAACTTCTAATACTGATAACGACACAAAATATTTATTTACACTAATTATCAAAGAACTTAAAAACACTATTAAATTATTACTAAATGTAGGTTATGAATTATTCCATTTATTTACACTACTGTTGATATATCACTTTTCACTGCGCTATTTATTTCACTGCTATCACTGTCAATTTATTTCTGGACTCACTTCTGCAACGATCAATTTATTTCTTCTCTTCTCGGCGATCGTCTCTTCCTTTAAATACTCTTTTGTTTCCTTTCTGGAACCCTCTAGAAACATCCGGATCGTCTAGTTTTTCTTTAAACTGTTTAACTGCTTTCCCAGAACGCAGGTACGACACACACATTTACAAATACGGCGCACATGAAGAAAGGCGCCCGCGGCTAGTCGGAGAATCGATAAGCCGTTCACGCACATGTGTGCCCGATCGCACACAAACACGCCCGTGCTCGCTACAATATGTATGCAATATACATTTAGACATTTCCCAAACAAGTACCACAAATTAATGTTAAAAGAAATTCTGTGTATGGTATACTTTTCTTTATTTAATTTTTAGAAATAAATAGTAAAGTAAATAAAATGTAACAAACTTGGAAAACCAAACTAACGTCCTAATTTTAAAGTAATATTTGCATAGCAAAATCGAAATCCATAAATGTAATTATAGTCACCTGTCACCTCCAAAATATTCATTAGCGTGCCTAATAAGCACCTATATTCTAATTAAGCATTATCTAGCAGTACACACGTTTATCTAATTAGCTTCCAACATAAAAGTTATTTTGAAATAGTCTAACATTTGCACATATTTTAAGTTAGTAATGCAGTTTGTCACAATTTTTATATCCTTGCCTCTTGGTCGTTACCTCGTTGCTGAAGTCAAATTAATTATTAATTTATTTATGTATATTCCAAGTGGAAAAAGGAAATCGTTTCACTGTCATTAGGGCATTAATTATAAAGTCAGCTTCGAAATGCTTCTTTATAAAACCATTACTCCAGACATTACTTATTTTATGAGTAATAAAATTCGTGCGATTGATTAGTGTTATTATGTGTTGCTAATGAAGTAATGTTGCAACAGACCTCTGCTTCCGCTTCCGCAATTACGAAAGTTCCGCATACATTTTCACATCCGCTTCTGCATCTGGCTCCGCATTTTTATAACGGAAGCTTATCGGAACTTAACAAAATCTTATTTCTCATGTTTTTAAAAATCAATCTATTGGAATAATAAAACAAGTCGTAAAAATTTACTTCTTTTATCTGTTGGCTGATGTGGTGTTACAGTTGAATGATGAGGATACCGTGGATAGAGAAGGTTAAAAATGAAGAGGTATTAGAAAGAATAGGAGAACAGATGACTATGGAAGTCAATAAGAAATAGGCGAGATAAGTTGGAGGGGGACACCTTCTCAGACATGAAGGTCTAGACAGAGACATATTAGAGGCAGAAACATGAGTTAGGAGGGGTGTAGGTAGGCCTAAATTAGATTACTGTTCGCAAATAGTTAAGGATTTGGGTTGTTCTAATTTTGGGGAAATGCGAAGTTTAGCTCAGGATAGGAAAGAGTGGAAGTACGTGTCCAACCAGTCTTAGGACTGAGAACATTATCATGATGATCTGTTGGCTGAACTTAGGCGTTTAGCCGCCAAAATTTTTTTAATAATAATAATAATATTATCCCTATGCAAATAACTTTATTATATAAGAACAAAGGCTTTCACGGCCTGAATCCATAGTAGATTGAAGATTCGGGCTATAGGGTAGTGGTGTAAGTGAACTATTCTGTCGAGACGTTTCGTCACCTACTGCGGCTGACATCCTCAGTGGTAGTGCCAACTTACACAGAATAGTGTTAAAAATTAATAATCAACTCTGTCACCCACTTCCCATCGGCAGTAATTTTTGCCAGACGCTTCAAAGTTTGCAAAAAAAAAACTTTTAGTCTGAGCCTTAATTTTTAAATACCTATGATACTTAAGGAGCTATTTCAGTACTTTTTAAATGCAACCAGACAAGTTGTAGAGGCCAAGTACCCCCTAAGTTGACATATCCCCATGTTGACGTATGTTTTGGCGAAAATGTGTTTTTGCCACACACTTATAAACTTATATATATCTCCATATTTCAACTCAGGACTGTAAAATCATTAATAAAAAACCCAAAATTTGTCATATATTCACAATAATTTTACTTTAAAATCGATAATAAGTGTATAGACGCACAAATAATGTATTTCTCGTAATATATTGGTTTTCACTACTTTGGTCATTATAAAATACATATATGTATTTTGTAAAACTGATGAATTCGCAGACCGGAAACGTATTCCGCATTATGCGTCCCGTGGGTTGTCCACCCTTAGGTACTTTCGATGTTTTCGAGTGATCTGTATTGGTAACTATAATTTATGACAGGGTATTTTTTATTTATAGTAGTAATAATTGTCTTTATAGTTTATGTGCGTTATTTGTGCTTAATTTCGATTCTACAAGTTATCAAATTTAAGAAAAAATAAAAAGATTCTTTATATTTCTGGGTCTCACTTGGGACCACTACTTTTTTTACTCTCCATTAATGATATAAGTCAAGGTTTGAAACAACACAACAAGTTTCTTTTATTTGCAGACGATATTAAATTATTTTCTATAATAAAATCCCCTCTTGATCAATCTAAACTACAGAAGAATCTAGATGTGATTATTAACTGGACAATTGCGAATAAGCTATTTTTGAATACTGAAAAATGTTCGGTATTAACTATTTATAGAGGTCATAAATTTGAAACTAACTATCTTGCAAACAATATTTCTTTGGGAAGAGTTATAGAACAAAAAGATTTAGGTATGGTTTTCAAGAGAATTCTGAATTCGATATTCAATTGCAAAATACTGTTAACAAGGCTTTTAAAATCCTAGGTTTTTTAATTAGATCAGCCAGTAAATTTAAGTTTGACACTATTATTTATACTTATGTACAAGGCCCTGGTAAGACCTATAATGTTTTATAATTCTCAAATCTGGTCTCCACATTATTTAACCATGATAATGAAATTGGAAGCGGTTCAGCATAAGTTTTTTAGATTCTTATCTTAAAAAATTGGTAAACGCATGTCTTTCTTTGATCATGATTGCGTTAATATTGTTAGGATTGCTGGTTTATCATCTGTAAAGTCACTTCAGGATTATTATGATTTGTTATTTATGAAGAGAATTTTCAATATACTTAGTGACACAGATAGAATCACTAATCCGCTGTTAAATATTTTTAAAACCAAAGATGGTGTTTATAAATTAAGATCAGTACGTACCTTTAGGGAAATTAATTCAAGTAAAGATTATGTTTTTCATTCTCCTTCTTTTAGACTAAGAAGAGTTTGGAATAAATTACCTGAGGCTATTAAATCTTGTGTTAATTTTAGAGAGTTTAAGAATGAGTTATTCAATTATGTGATTAACTATCAATAATTAATTATATATAATTATCCTATTTATGTTCAATTATACATTTCTCCACCATCATATATTTATATTTATAAATTGTTATGATTTTGTAAAAGAGCTTTTCAGCCCGTTGATTCAAGAAAATAAAAAAAAATATTTGCATATATTTCCAGATCATTAAGAGACACATGAAGTACACTGTTACGACTTCTATAAGAAATTGTTATATCGACTTGAAATACTCAGAATATTAACTTCAAAAATATTGATAGCAACAATACAACGAAGAAAAAGTTTAATTTTTGTTAATTTTGGAAATTTTTAAGTAGGTCTTTTGAATGACGTCTTAAAAGTTTTCAATCGAGCTAATTTTTAGTGCACATTATTCAAGTAGATATATAATACTTATGTAAGTCTACTAAGTCTGAAATCAAAAATTTTTTAACCACCTCACTCTGCAAGAATCACAAACAAAAATATCGAAAAAAATACTTGCGGAGAATGACCATCACTATCAGCAACTTGACATGACACCGACATTATTCACTAACTAATATAAAATAATTATTATTTTTGAGCTTTTAGTACTTATAAGTAATTTAAATTTGGTTTTTATTCATTTATTTGTTTTCTTTTAATTCGTTATCATTGCATGTTGTCCAAAGATGTATTTTCTACCGTAAATCCAATATGTTACTCACCTGTTGAAGAAGTGCTTTGAAGCAGCGTACACTTCTACCACCAACTGGTAACCAGCCGGTTAACAGCACTTCACCTATAGTATGCACATACGTATGTCTATACAAAGAACAAGTTAGTGACTTGCTACTATTCTAATGGAGAGAGAAAGATCGGTTTTTATGTGACGTAGCCTCATTGGGCTATTTGCTAACATAACCAACACACGCTTTTGACCTCACCTCACAATCACTTACAATAAAATACAATAAATTTATTTTTGTTAAGAAGACGTAATGGGAAATCCCTCATATCAGTAAATTGTATAACATTAATGTATACGTAAGACGCATCTGTTGATGTTATAACACTGTTTACATTCATTGAATTTAAATCTACAGTAAAATTGTTTTAGACACTCACTGACCATAACATTATACTAAAAAAGAGAGCAAAGTGTATTGTAGCGCAATAATTACTTTCCTGCATACTCATGTTTCTGTTCGTAGCCTTCATGACTGAGTAACTTTGTTTTTTACAATTATGTTTTTGTCATCAAGACTTACTACAACGTAGCACTGTTAGAATAAATAATAATTGATGGTACAGTTCACCTCATGTCAAAGAAAAACTGGCCGAGTATGGTACAATTCCGCCCAGTTTACTATGATACCACCCCTGTTGGGTTTCAGAGTCATTAAGGAACGATACCGCCTCTGAGAAACACATCACCATCATAAGGTCGTCAGTTATAAGACTTGCTGGGCACGCGTCTTCACCCTTTCCCAATCATCGAATTTCCCTAAAACTAGAACATCCCACATCTTTAACTATTTGTGAACAATAATCTAATCTAGATCCACTTCTACTCCACTGAACTCCTGTTTCTTCGCTTTCTTACATGTCTCTAACTGGCCCTTTGTGTCTAAGAAAGTTCCTTACCCATATACTTAATACATAAAAGGTCATCATCATCATCATAGCGTCATCAATCCTAAGACTAATCAGACACGCATCTCCACTCTTTCCTATCCTGGGCTAATCTTGGCATTTTCCGAAAACAAGAACTTAACTATTTGTGAATAGTTATCTAATCTAGATCTACCTCCACTCCACTTAACTCCTGCTTCTACTTTTTCTAATATGTCTCTAACTGGAACTCCATGCATGGGAAGCTGCCCTACCGATATGGTTCGCATTTCCCGAAAACTAGAACATCTTACATCCTTAACTATTTGTGAACAGTAATCTAATCTAGGTCAACCTTCACTCCACTTAACTTATGTTTCTGCTGTTTCTAATATGTCTATAACTGGCCCTCCATGCATGGTAAGGTGCCCTACCCATATGCGTAATACTTAAAAGCGTCGGAATTACCATCATCATCATAGTGTTGTCATTCTATGACTGGTTAGACACGCACCTCCACTCTTTCCTATCCTGGGCTAACCTTCACATTTCTCGAAAACTAGAACATCCCACATCCTTAACTCTTTGTGAACAGTAATCTTAACAAGATCTACCTCTACTTCACTTAACTCCTGTTTCTTCTTTTTCTAGTATGTCTCTAACTGGCCTTTCGTGTCTAAGAAGGTTCCCTACCCTAATACTTAAAAGGTCATCATCATCATCATGGGGTCATCAATCCTAAGACTTGTCAGACACGCACCTCCACTCTTTCCTAACCTGGGCTAATCTTCGCATTTCCCGAAAACTGGAACAGAATAGTAATCTAATCTAGATCTATCTCAACTCCACTTAACTCCTGCTTCTACTTTTTCTAATATGTCTCTAACTGGCCCTCCATTCATGGGAAGCTGCCCTACCGATATGCTTCGCATTTCCCGAAAACTAGACATCCTACATCCTTAACTCTTTGTGAACAGTAATCTTATCTAGATCTACCTCTACTTCACTTAATTCCTGTTTATGCTTTTTCTAATATGTCTCTAACTGACCCTTCATGCCTGAGAATTTGTTCTACCAACGTATCCCGTCTATTTCTAATTGACTTTCATAACGCCCTCTGTTCTCCTAATACATACCATGATATAAAAAATTTATTTATGTTCAATGGTTGAGGTTACAACAAAACACTCAAAACCAGATGACCACGACAGCACTTTTGTCGTGAACTGAACATCTTCCGTCAAAACTGGAGTGGAATAATACCATCATTAAGTTACTGCTTACCACGAGGCGAAATCTTTCATACCAAAGCTGATCGAACTTGTTCCGTTTGAATGTTATAGCAATTCAAGACTAGGTACATAAATTTAGAGCCGAAAGTTTTCATCCAATGTGCTTAATTTTAATTCGTAATAATTGAAGATCAGAAAGTCGAAGAAATTGACGTAGACATGTGTCCAAATATTCTTGCTTAGTCACTAGACAAACTGTGCAAAATGCTTTTCTTCGACAGCTACACAGGCATCACGTCCAAAAATCATTGATTGTTACATTCGCCCAAAAATTCCGGGACAAACTAAACGAAAACTGCAGTCTCATAACAAAATCAATGTGGAATGCACAAGATCGTTAAGATGATCCTATAGGAAAAAGTCTAATGGATTGCAATCTGAAGAACGCGGTGGCCACGCTACTGACCCCCTCCCTCAACCTATTTTGTTACTCCAACTATTCCCATAATTAATACAGTATTCCTCAGCAACAAAACTAAAGTAGGCTAAGGAACCCTCATGAATAAACCATAACTGAAGTTGTGTTTCCAGTAGAACGTTTTCAAGTAAATGAGGATGATCATTTTGAAGAAAATTTCTTTAATTTGTCCATTTAATTCATTTGTTAACTCCTGAAGTATTGATTTCTAAATACATGACCGTGGAACTTTTTTGGCTTGTTGATTTCATAGATCATGCCACTGTAAAAGTTTCTGACAGTTTTAATATTGCTGATTCCAATCTCGGATGTTGCAGGCCATAATTTACTTAGTGAAATGTCATCGTAAACTACTTTTATGTCTATGAAGACCATGAGAATCTCCAGATTTCTGGTCAGTCCTTCCAGTAATTGTTTTAAACAAAACGAATCTGCCAGCACGGAATCCATTCTTTTTTTCTTCTACCTCAAATTGATGCACTATGCGGTTTTTAATTATTTTACCATGCAGTCTTAAAGCTGAGTTTGCACCACTTATCATCGTCATCATCAATCTCTCCTAAAATCGGTAGATGCGCACCTCCACTCTTTCCTATTCTGAATTAATCTTCGCATTTCCCTAAAACTGGAGCATCTCACACCCTTAACAGTAATCTAATCTAAGTCTACCTACACTCCTCCTAACTTCTGTTTCTACTGTTAGTGTCTCTAACTAGCCCTTCATGCCTGAGAAGGTGTCCTACATATAAATGAGAAGTCAAATTTGTTTGTTTCTTATTTATATGTAAGGCTTGAAAGTCCTTCCATTAGTAGAGAGAAACTACAACTCCTGAATAATATATCATATATTTCATTTTGATAAAAATAAGTTTTCATTTCGAAATTTCAATAGTTCTTATTAAACTGGAAGGTGTATCCTTATTCAGAATAACTTTATTGTTATTTCTGTTTTGAAATACACCCCTATAAATCGCTGTATATATAAAACAATTGTTTTTAATTTATTTAAAAGTGCCATTTGTCCTCTTCTAATTTTAAATACATACATCAATTCATGATTATTCTGCATTGTTGGTTGCCTACGTGGGAACATTATTTTGTTACCATTAGCTATCGTTATAGCAGAGAACAGTAAGTATGTTCGTTTCTCTGGATAGTTAACATCATTTCCGTAAGAGGACACACAACACTAGTCGGATTCCTCAATGCAGTCGGATTGGTGGGAGTGTTTAGTGTTACTCGTTCTAACCTATTCGTTACAATGTTTTTATGGTGAAAATGTCAAAAGTGTAATCGTTCCGCGAATGAATTTAAAATGCTGTTAGTGTATGCTTCGTAATTACATGCCAATTTTAATTGTTATTCGTTAAGTTTATGTTCGTCTTCAACAAAAGTGAGTGAACGTTATTGTAGAACTTAAATGTTTATATTGTTTGTGTTGTGGTATTAGTTAGGACTTTTAAACAATATGAACTCGCGGGTGCATGTGCAATCGTTTTTTAACAATTCTTTGGCTATTAGACAGGAAATTCAACGATTCGAAAGTGTTCATCCTTCGATTTATGCCATTTACGATTTGATCGACCTAATACCTGATGGTCCAGTGGCCCAGCAAATACGAGACCACGTAGTCTGTATCGAAGGTAAGTCTTTTGCGGAGAAAGTAGATTACGGCATAGATGTAACAATAAATGTTGCAGTAAGCAAAACGAAGAAGAGTTGTTTGAAGTTTTATGCTCGATCGCATACCGGTTTTTCTTTATTTACTTGAACTATATACCGACCACGAGGTAGGTAGGTAGGTACCTATTTACCTGAAGAGCTGCTTCTTGCTGGCAGGTAGCACCTTCAAGTAAACAGACCTCTAGTCAGTTGCTTCCTATTGTGTAACATCCAAAAAAATTCCAAGAACGCTACTCTTTCACAGACTGGTTCTTTTTTTTTTTTTCAATACGAAATCCATGACGAATTGTATTTTCTCGGAAAATTTGTTCTGCAGATTGTTGATCTTTTGCAAAAAGCTGCACCGTGAAATAAGCACTATGTATCGAAAAAGCGTTCAGGCGTTCTAAACAATAGAAACATTGTATATTTCATTGTTTATTACGATTATTCGGAACACTCTTTATCTATACGTAAGATATAAACAATAAAGATAAAAAGTTAGTGAAGGTGAACGACTCGAGTGTGCAGCAAGGTCCCCCAAAAAGATTTGACAAAAAGATTGCTTGCCAATAAAGGAATGCAATTTTAAATTTAATTAACAGTACCTAAATAACAATGAACCAACATCGATTTATTAGTATGTCCCTAATACTGTTATTAATTGATAGTTTTTAAGTATCCTTAATAAAATGTTGCGTTTGATTGTTGTAAAAAAAAAGAATATTAAGTAAACAAGAAAACAACAGCTTTGCAAATCACTACCTGTCTCAGTATGGATGTAAATAATCTACGGCATCATTACTATAATTAGCTAGATAAGGCAATTGTCTAAACCGTTCCTCTATCGTCATAC